CTATTTTCATATTTTTTTTAACATCCTTGCCTTCTGTGTATTGATCTTGAAACTTCTAATGCACCACATTCTTTTAATTTGTCCATTAATATTTCAATTCCCTCTAAAGGATCTTCCAAAATCAACAGCAAGTCCACTGCCAAAGCCCTTAATTTATAGATTTAAAAAAAAAACATAATCTTTTCATCCTGTCTTATATCTCTATTCGGAATTTCAAGAATCAAAATATATGAGGGAAGAGTGTGAGCTCCCTCTATTGACTTTTATTTTCTGTTTCACAGTGTTTTGTTAGATCTCCATTAACAATTATTTGCGCTTTCTGTGAAATGTAAATCTACTTCAGTAGTGGGATTCAAAATTTTTTACTATCGGTGAGCATGGCTTGGTGGGCGTGGCAGGGGAAGGATACTGTAAAATCTCCAGTCAGAGGTGGTATTTGCCGGTTCTCCAAACTACTCAAAATTTCCGCTACCGGTTCTCCAGAACTGATCAGAACCTGCTGGATACCACTTCTGATCTACTTTGCCCATTTTATAAAATTCTCTCCAAAAATCATATTTTCCAAAACATTGAACAAGAAAGCCCAAATCAGATTGCCAAAGGCTTTATTTGCACTGCAAGATCAATGCAGCTTGTTTTTTTTTATTATTATGCTGCTCCAAATGTTATAAAGTGTCTTAACACATTGCTAACACTGTCCTTTAACTGTCTTTTAGGTAAAAACCCACATTGATCCTCATGAATAATTGAAATATTCTTGAAATATTCTTGAAATATTATTTTCAGTCTATTAGCTGGAAACATTATGAACAACTTATAGTCATTATTCAGTAATGATATTGCCCTACAATTTTTTGTTAAAGTCAAATCTTATCCCTCTTGAAGTATTAATGTTGTTTTGGCCTCTTTCCAATTCTTTATCTTCTTCCCTGTGGGACAGAGTTTATTGTGTTTATTTTGTAAATGTTGAAAATTCATCATCTTCCAGACATTTATAATAAGAGCCTGGTCCAGGCACTTTCCTAGTGTAATCTTTTATATGGCTTCCAAAATTTTCCTTATTGTAGTAGGTCCATTCATAATCTGTCTCTGTTCCTCTGCAATCTTTAGTACCTTTTGTTTTGAACAACCAGAGAGATGTCACTTCTGTATGACTTCATGGTCCATTAATAGAGTATCTTCCTCTTGTAATTTCAATATCATGTTCTTTCTTTATTTTTTCTTTTCATAATTTATATGCTAGCCACTTCCCTGCCTTATTTGCCAATACATTTTTTTGCTTTACATAATTCACTTTTATTTACATTTCTTTTACTATCTGGTAAATGCTTAATTTGTTGAGAAATACATATCTTCTCTGGAAATTACTTCAATTTTTCTTCTTTTTTCTTTATTTCATTCAAAATAGTTTTTTCCTCTCTTTTTAAGACTGTTATGTATAAAATAATCTTTAACAAAAACTTTACTTGCATCCCAAATCATTCTTAAATCAGTGCCTTTACTGAAATTATTTTCAAAAAGTTATTTTAATTTCTTTTTACAATTCTCCACTATTGCTTCTTTCTGTAATAACGTTTCATTTAGTCTCCATCTAAAAGAACTAGATTTCTATTTGTAAACCAAACTCACAGGAGTGTGATTCCCGGGGGAAAAGGTAATATTTCTACTTTAGAAAGCGTAGTAACCACATTCATTGAAATACAGTTTTAAGTCTATTCTTGGAAAGAATAGATATGCCTTTCAGAAAAGTAAGAATAGTTTCTTGAACTGCCATTTTTCTATCTTTGTATATCAACCAGTCCTAAATTGTCAATCAAATCAAAGAAAACCTTTGGTAATTGGCCTTGACTAATTGTGATATTTTTCCCCCCAAAAGTTTTATTCAGTTATGGAGAGTTCACTCCATTCCAATCCTTCATGAAGCATACATTTCCACTAGAAAACCTTATTAATCTCTTCATAAGTCCTTTATAAAAGAATAGTTTGTCTTCATTTTTGGACATAAATTCCTGTATTGAAATCCTAATCCCATGCAAATTAACTTCCACCCCAATAAATCTGCCATGCTCATCAGTTAATACAAATTCTGGTTTTAGTTGGGGATTTATATACAAAACCACTCAAATTCTTTTTTTGATTCTACTGAAATAAATTCACCTAAATTTTTATAAATCAAATATTTTATGTCCAGTTTTCTACAATGTGTCTCCTATTAAATTAAAATTAAATTTTGGTTTACCTTTTTAAAATTATGGCTTTTTTTTTTCTATTTTGAAGAGCATTTCCTTCATTTATATTTGTAATCTATAATAAAGCCAAAACTTTACAAAAATTGATACCTTTAACTGCCTATTTCAATATTATCCCTTTCGGTTTCCTGTTGCATCTGTTGAAGTTTTGTGTAGTCTCATCTGATACAGAGGTGGTATTCAGCAGGTTCTGACCTGTTCTGGAGAACCGGTAGTGGAAATTTTGAGTAGTTTGGAGAACCGGCAAATACCACCTCTGACTGGCCTCGCCCCCATCTATTCTCTGCCTCCCAAGTCCTGATCAGCTGGGTCTTCTTTTGTTGCCCTGCACAGGAGAATGGAGCTGGAAAGCAGGTTAGTGAGGCGGGGAGGGAGTGGGGATTTTGCAGTAACCTTCCCTCAGGAGTGGGGAGGGAATGGTGATTGTTAGGGATAACATGGTTACCTAACTTAGTTTGGGTAAAATAATATATATAGACTATGATTGTGTGTATCACTTTAAATGCAGACCATGTATTTTGGGTGCGGTTGTAAAATCACCATAAGAGGGAGCAAGAGAGCTCACTGTTTGCTGGCTTTTACTGGATTGCTGACAATGATGGATTGATGGTGATAACTGCGTTTTTTCCCTGCTATTGCTGAACGAAGAAAAGAGGTTTGATTTTCTTCATATCTCTACTGCAAAAAGAGATATATTACTGGACTGATTATTTGTAAGTTTACTGACCTCTTTTTCGACACTGGACTTTGCTAATGAATAATCCCCGGACGGACTGAACTAAGTGTATGATATATGGACTGTTTGACTATGCTAACAATCTTACTGGAATAAACTATTTAACTAGCACTGTGTATCTGTTTTACTGAGTGTAAGCTACAACAACGATTATCTCACATATCTGCCTGCCTGACTGACTACCGTTGCACGTTCTGCTAGGGTGTATATCCCTAACAGTGATTTTACAATATCCTTCCCCTGGAGTGGGGTGGGAATGGAGATTTTACAGTATCCTTCCCCTGCCACGCCCACCAAGCCACGCCCATAGAACCGGTAGTAAAAAAAAATTTTGAATCCCACCACTTATCTGATACCCTTATTTGAATCTCCTCTAATGTTCTTTAAATTTTTCTAAAAGTTCCTTCTGAACAAAACATACAGTAACTGAAATCTTTGCTACTACCTCTCTGTGGATAGTCTAATGATTCTCTCCTTTCCTCCATTTTTGCTGCCCTTCAGGTCATTGTCATTATATTATAATCCAAAAGCAAAAGTGTCTCAAATAAAGAAAAAAAAGAGGCAAGTTTCTCCATCCCTATTTTTTCTATTTTGTTTTCCATTTTGATCTCATTGCACTCCATAGTTACAGACAGCACCATAGTCAACATCTCCATAGTTACAGTCAGATTAGAATCTAGCTTATATTATTTTTATCTTTTGTTTTGTAGAGTACACTAATCGTCTTCCCTCTTTAATAGTAAACAAAAATATGTCCATAAAAGTCCAATTTGCTTGTTTATTTTAATTCCAATTTATTCAAAAGCACTTTCATAAAAAATAATCTTTAAAAATAGCTATTTTTATCCATTTTAAACTTTCCTGGATTGATTCCTTTTTAAGATTTTGTCAAGAGGTTTTAAAATCTTTGTAATCCAGAAAGAATAATAACTCAACAAGTGGAATTTTTATCCTATGGCTCAGAACATCTTTAACTGTAAATTAGCTACATCTGACAATGGTTAAAAATTATGCTTGTAATGTGCAAGCCTTATGCCCATATAGGCTGAATTAAAGCTGGGATCTTGATTGAAATCCCTCCCAGCATCCAACTCACAAGTAGATCACAAAAATTTCATGCTGAACTTGATGTTCCTGAAGGAGCGGAGACAACATTTTGGTGGAGATTGGTGGCCAGACACAAAATTCTGGTCACCAAAGACTTTCAAGAAAAAAGAAAAAAAATCATATAAGATTGCCCATTTGCACTCCAGAAAGCTGTTCTTCATGAGCACACTGCAGGAACGCATGTATTTAATAATTTCTTTATTATCTTAAATATTCTAATTTGGCAACAACTTTTGGAGACACTGTCAGGTTTGTACCCAAGGTCTTAAAACTCCTTATGTCCTCGTATAGACTTTCAGAGGAAAGAAATTCCATTTAACTAAGTGATCCTCTACTCTGAGGAACCAATGTGGATGTTGAGGAAGGTTGTTAATAACCAATAACTGGAATTGTTAAAATGAGGATCTAAATATATTATTTATGACCAAGTGAATTATGGTAATGACTCCTAGCATCACGTAACGGAGTGAGCTCCCGTTACTTGTCTCCGCTTCTGCCAATCTAGCAGTTCGAAAGCATGTAAAAATGCAAGTAGAAAAATAGGGACCACTTTGGTGGGAAGGTAGCAGCGTTCCGTGTGCCTTCAGCATTTAGTCATGCCATCCACATGACCATGGAGATGTCTTCGGACAGCTCTGGCTCTTCGGCTTTGTAACGGAGATGAGCACTGCCCCCTAGAGCTGGAAATGACTAGCACGTATGCGTGAGGGGAACCTTACCTTTGACTTGTATAAATTTGCATGCACATCAGGGTCAGTTGCTCTCTTATGATAACTGAGAACAATTTTGGAAGGACTGCCTGTCCTGAACAGCAAATTATTTCTATTAATTTTGCTGGCTTTTTCATCAGTGATCAGCGTTCAAGTATTAATCTATGCCTCACTTCCTTCCTGTCTCTCTTTCACTAGAAAGAGCCCGAGATTATCTACACAAGACAGGAAGATTCATTGTCATTGGTGGAATAGTCTCACCCGTACATGACTCATATGGAAAACAGGTAGGTTTATTTTTTTTCCTTTTCTTCTTTGTTCAAAAAGATAATCACAACTGTGGGGAATGGATACTAGGCACCCTAAGATGAACAAGTGTGACATCTGTTGCTTAAACTCTTAATATTTACCTTTTTCAGGTAGGAATGCACTAGTTGGAGAAGGCAACTAGTATAAGCAAATCTGTAGCATGAACATGGCAAGCTTTAATTAATTAAATGATTTTTTCTTCAATAATTTGTCATTTCTTCTGATTTTTAAATTATCATCTGAAACACAATGCTCTATGCCAATGTCATCATGGGATAGTTCATTTTCTAAAATTATCACTTAGTTCCCACAGGATCCCTATCGACCAGGTGTAGTGGCCTTTGGGGAAAGGAACAAGAGATCATACTTTACTGTTTTCATTAAACGTGTCCATTGTACGTAATACAACAGAATGATCCACTTTACAGATAGGAGATTTTCTTTGTTACCATCTCCATTTAAAAATATCTGACATAGCTGAGCAAAAAAATACCCTCTCACTTCCATTTTTATTTTGTAATTCTGTATTGTTGTAAAGAAGAGGCTAGTCAGATGGAGATTTTTTTTGTGGCCTTAAAAGACAAGCTTTGCCACCTGAAATTCCCTTCCTACACATTTATTAAAAATGCAAGTGCCCAACTTTTTCCTCTGAACATTTGACCACTCTATAGTTAGTTGATTTTAGATTATTAGATGATATTTAGATGATATTAGATGATATTTTAGATGATATGGGGGCTGGAGGCTAAAACATACAATGAATGGTTGCAGGAACTGGGCTTGGCTAGTCTAGTAAAGAGAAGGACCAGGGGAGACACGATAGTGGTCTTCCAATATTTGAGGGGCTGCCACAGAGAGGTAGGGGTCAAGCTATTTTCTAAAGCGCCTGTAGGCCAGACAAGGAATAATGGATGGAAACTGAACAAGGAGAGATTTAACCTGGAAATAAGGAGAAACTTTCTGACAGTGAGAACAATCAACCAATGGAACAGAAGTTGCCCTCGGAAGTTGTGGGAGCGCCATCACTTGAGACTTTCAAGACGAGATTGGACTGCCATTTGTCAGAAATGGTGTAGGGTCTCCCACTTGGGCGGGGGGTTGGACTAGATGACCTACAAGGTCCCTTCCAACTCTGATTATCTGTTATTTGTTATCTGTAATCTGTTAGATTAAGTAGTTTATAAGTAACACTAGCAATCTAGAAACAGACAGGAAGGGGGAAAATACGTGTATGTAAGGCTAGAGTGTATCAATCCTGAAGTGAACGTGGCTGAGGCCATCTTGGAGGCTTCAGGGTTGCCACACAACAGAGGGAGAGGGAAATAGCTAGATGGGGTTTTATAGCCAAAGCAATACAGTTTTCCTGTGGGAACAAAGGACATTCTCACAGGTGGCTGGCCAGAGGAGGAGTGAAGTAACCAAGCAACCGGCCAGCACCTTAATTGAACAGAATGACAAGTGACTTGTGGGAAAGGAGAAACATTTACCTTTTAATTAGGTGAAAGCCGCAGGAACTTCAGAATCAGTTTTCACCAGTTGTGCCAATTTCATGTATCCAATAAATTGTTCTTTGAGGAATTTCCCTGCCTCAGAGTTCTGCTTTCTATGGGTGCATTACTTGGAATGCTGATATCAAGCCAACTCTCCGATCTAATCGGAGCTGCTCTCCGGGGTCCTGAGAAATGGGAAGCTTTTAAGTATTTAGGGACTGTTTTACAAAAATTATTTGGAGCAGCAAAATCTACAAAAATGATGATATGGCAGGATTGGGACTTTGGGGCATTCATTTGAAGAGTATGACAGTTTTTATGCTGCATTGAACCTGTATTTTTTTCCTAGTTTTTCCTACCAATAATCGGCAAAAATTGTACATCTGTTTTTGGTAGTTTGCTGCTGAAATTTAGCAATGCAATTTGTGAAAGTTCTAGTCTGTAGTCCATCCAGCAGTGTCTGATGATCGTTTGGCACTGCTCATCTCCGAATTAGGGAACTGAGGAGCATTAAGTTTACCCAGCAGATATCACACTATATGAGGCCTAAGACTAATAAAGCAGTTATTCCTTAATTTTGACATTTAAAAAGTCTAATAATCCGGAATTTCCTTTCGTTAATTCTGACATCTATTTCTTTACAGGGTTTGGTTTCCAGCCGGCATCGCCTGGCAATGTGTCAGTTGGCTGTTCAGAGTTCTGATTGGATAAGGTATAATAGCATATCTCATCACTCATGTTTGCTGCAGTGGCTTGTATTCTGCTATTTGTGTGATGGTCAAGATAAGCCGCTTCATGGTGTGTGTTTTTTAAAGTCCAGATGATTAGCTACAACTGTCCAATCAAAGCCCCACCCCTCATTTTACAGGTATTGCTTATATTACAGATATAAAAAGGGGCAGCTCTTGGTGCAGCTGTCTTGACCTTCTGATCCTCCAGCAGATAGATGTCCCTGGCTCAGGAATCCATGGGAGCCCTGGTTTTCTGATTCAGAACATAGTTCTCTCTTATGAAATGCTAACATGCAGCAGGTTTGCAAACTAAAATGCCAGATGCAACAAGAAGACAATGTTTTTCAGTCTTGAAAGCCTGATGGAGAGGTGGAAGCTTCCTTTTCTTTATAATTGTTCTTAAGTGAGTGGATGCATACATTTGAAATGAAATGAAATATACCTTCAGCAACTTGGGCAACTTCCATATGTATGATCTTCAACATCATAAACCAATAGTCGTATAAATTCTGGGAAGTGAAGTCAACATATCGGAAGGTTTCCTAAGTTGGCATCATGTTTGCGCCAATCACTCTTGCAAGAACTTTTTTTTTTCAACTGCACATTGATTTCATTGGGAATAGCTCCTCGTAGAAGCTTCTCAAAGCAAGAAGTTAGTGATAGGCATATCAGTAATGTGTTGCTTTGGGTCAGATTTGAGACAGTCAAACTAGAATATACGTGAAAGCATTCAATTAGGTCTATAGTAGGATTGTTAGCCCCAAGTATGATCAGACAGCATGAACTATTTTCTTATTAAAAAATATTGCTTTTAAAATAACAGGGGAAAAAGAGCACAACAGATGCATACATCATCAAAAATACATAGCAAGTGCTTAAAAATAAGTTAAAAGATACAATGGAAAATAAGTAATATGTTGTAATATTCTTGAATAGCATGCTTTTTTAACTTCCATATGTGGCATCAATTTTATTATATTTATCAATATTCAATCTACATCTATAGGCAATCCTCTCATAGGAAGTCAGTGGAAGTTCTCATTAATCCAGGTCATGGTTGTCTCAAAGGTGCTTTGTCAGGAGGAAACTGGACTTTCTAGTTTTTCTTTAAAGACATTTCGCTTCTCATCCAAGAAGCTTCTCTGAAGAAGCTTCTTGGATGAGAAGCGAAATGTCTTCAAAGAAAAAACAGAAAGTCCAGTTGCCTCTTGAAAAAGCACATTTGAGACTCTCATAGTGTTGGAAGAATTATTCTTCTGGGTTCAGTTCCAAGTGGGGAAAAAGACACTGGAAAACATGGAGGCCATTTGGAAAGATGGTTTAATAGTGGACAGAATCACATGCCCTGGATGAAAAAAGAAAGAAGGAAAAGGAGGGCAGGCCAAGATGCTGAGAGACCCTTATATACACTCTGTTGGGGCCCACCTTAGTGTTTCCTGTTCCTGTGCAAGAAATTTATCCCATTGGCTGTCAGAGTCCCAGGGGCAGGGGTCTTAACATTTTAGGCTTTGTCTGGACCACATGGCTTCACCTGAGTGTTGGCTGATATAATCTTCCCAGGCCAGGTGGTGAGATGGGTAGAGGCCTTTGTTATGTAGAATACTCTGACCTAGGCCTTAATGGCCCATTAGCAAAGATGTGGGGGGCTGAGTTTCTACCTCTCTGAGGTGAGTTTCTGCTTCTGAGTTTCTACTCTTTTTAGGGGAAATATTCTGCCTTTTTAATATTTCCCGGGATATTTCATTTTTCTAGGAGTGGGGTGGGTGCTAACTTCCTACAATAGGAAGCAAATGTAAAATTTAACCTGAAAATTGTGCTGCCTAAATTTGACCTATTTTTTAAGGGTTTGGAAGCTGTGTGAAGTCTGTAGGCCACAGCTTGCCTACCTCTGATTAGATCCATGATCAAATTTTTGAAAATTTTTTGTTTTGCCAGCAAAACAGGCCTCTTATTTCATGTGCCCCTCGGGGCAACTTGGCCTCTTTCAATAGCAAGATTTGCAGGTATTTCAGGCTTGGTCTAATTGTTTTCTTTTGGAGTCATGAGACTGATGTCTTACTAAGTAATTCAACCTTAGATTAACTTATTAACCCCTCCCCACTATAGTTATCTTGAATAGCCTTTTTTTTTTTTGCATGAATGAGCAGTTAGCAACATTGTTAGCGAATGCGTTTTAATTAGCGACTTCACATCTCCGAGAACCTCAGATGGAGAACATAAGAAAAAAAATTGGCTGCTAAGAACATATTTGAGAAACAGCTCAATTTAGCAGTTCATCAATTAAGAGCTGGTGCTGCTAGCTCAGCCTATCAGATTTTGATGCTTTGTTTTTTTAAAAAAAGGAGGCTGGTGATGGAGAATCTGTTGATTTGGGCACAATACACTCGCTGACTTGTCCAAATGTGAGAAATTGGCATAAGTGCCATGTGCTGCAATACTTCCTGCATAGGATACAACTGGGTGAACGAGGAGGCAGGATTTCAAAAACTGTACAATGTGGAGCTGGATAGAAACCCAACAGACCACCTACCTAATAGGCTTGATTCAATAAGATCCTGATAAAAACATAGATCCAAATAGGGATCAGGTTTTAATCAGTAATGTAGGATTCAGTTCCCACCACTCCTTTAAGTTAAGAAATACTGTAAAACAAACAAATATGGAACACCAGGATAGGCACTTTCTAGCATAACTGTTTGTTTTTTATTTGGTCAAATTTTTGAATAAAGTAGTCAAATTCACACAAATTCCACACACCACACTTTTGTATTTCTTATTATAACCTTTTAAATATGTATTTTCTAGGAATATTATTCCTCTGGAAACGTACCAGTAGTCAGTAGCCCATCATGCCAGATTAAGATATATACCATATTTTTCGCACTGTAAGACACAACCTAGGTTTAAAGGACGAAAACGGGCAATGGCAAAGACAGAAGAGGTGGGGTTCAGCACTGTAAAAGGACCCTGCCATCACCACGGCCAGTATTTTCGCCCCATAAGACGCACAGACATTTCCACCCAGTTTTGCGGGTGGGAAAAGTGCATCTTGTGGAGCGAAAAATGCGGTAGTTTGTCAGTATCCAAATCCATCTGTATTAACCCATTCTTACTAGAGTTGTCTCTCATACTGAGACAATACGCTAATATTGTGGCAACTTAACATATTGTATGTACATAGTATGATATATGAGGTTGTCTTCTTCATTCCATATTTCAGTCTCTCATAAACCAGGTAGTCCTCAACTTACGATCACATATGAGCCCAACATTTCTGTTGCTAATTGAGACATTTGTTAAGTGACTTTTGCCCCCATCTTATGACCTTATTTGCCACTGTTGTTAAGTGAATCACTGCAATCGTTAGCTTAGTAACACAGTTGTTAAATGAATCTGGCTTCTCCTATTGACTTTGTGTGCCAGACGGTCACAAAAGGTGATCACATGACCCCAGGACACTGCAATAAATATGAGTCAGTTGCCAAAGCATATGAATTTTGATCACATGACTATGGGGATGCTGCAATGGTCATAAGTGTGAAAAACAGTCATAAGTCACTTTTTTTAGTGCCACTGTAACTTTGAGCAGTCACTAAATGAATGTTGTAAGTCAAGGACTACCTGTAATCATAAGGGCCCACCCTCAGCCAACAAAACTCACTGGAAAACTTTGGCCCAGTCACTCTCTCTCAGCCCAACATGCCTCACTGATGTTATGGGGAAATTAAGGCTCCCTCCTCCTATGTATACCATCTTGAGTTCCTGAAGTAAGGTGGGATATAAATCTAACAAATACAGGGGATGTTAACATGTACCCTGTGCGGCCATCACCTTTTCTTTACAACCAACTCCCACACATATTTCAGTGCAAGCATTCCTGTGCTGGACCTTTCCTTGTTTTTGTGTGGGTTAGTGTCACACATCAGTTTTCCACAATACTCCCTCATCTCGAATTTTGACATGAAGGCCTGAAATTAGATTTGTTCAAGATGAAGTGGACCCCAATATTTGCTATTAGAGATAAGAATCTAAATACCCAGGAGGAAAGGCAGTCTTATTTGATGATAACACGTCATGACCATAAGTATATTGGAAAAACTCTGGTACAATTAGTTTGCTCGAAAGACTGCAAGCGTGACAGGATTGTGGCTCTAATAAACAACAATTTATTACTAAATATTCTGTCATGTTTGATAAAGAAGAAATGACAGTTAGCATTTTCCAGTTGATCTGAGCAAGGTTTTGCCAAGAAACAAGTAGACCTACAATCAGATGACAAATCCATTTTGAAATCTACTCATCATCTTAACTTTAAATTGGTAGAACTGGTGTAAATTCTATTACACTAGTGCAAGATGTTCCTAGCTCCGGTATCTGTTCCTTTTATATTATTTTTTGAAAAGTCAGTTTATAGAAAGGCAGACTACTCTCTGTCCTCCAATATTGAAATCAGCAAACAGTATGATGATACCAGCAAAACAATTCAGCAAAGTGTTATCATAAGCCCAGTATAAGAATCTCTGCAACCAAATCAGTTGATTTCACTTTGTCAATAACACAATTCTACAATTGGTAGTCATTTAATCTTCTCCTTGGTTTTCTCTTCGAAGGGAATTGTGGCCACAGGCCAGTACATACTGTATGTAGGCAAATCCATAAAATGTAAAGGGAAAAAATTCTTCATGTTGAGTTTGACTTCACGGACATTCCATATGGGTCTCTTAAGCAACCATATGAACCTGGTTTGTCGGGCCTGTTTCTCGGGATGTTTTCCTTTAACTTGCTTTAGCCCTTTCAGGGTGGTCTCTTCCTACTTAGCTTTTCAAGAGTAACCAAAATCAGGCAGGGGTGGGATTCAACTGGTGTTACTTCCAGTTTGGTGATTATGTTTTGCGTGCATATATGCGTTTCACGTGTATACCTAAAGCTGTGCCACCTGGACTGCTGATAAGCGCTGCGTGCGGGTGCTCAGTGTTTGAAAAAGCACTTTTTTCCTGCTTTTTCAACCTCAGCTGTGCCGCGCAAAGCAGCTGCGGTTGAAAAAATAGGAAATAAAGGTCAGGTAAGAGCCCGGGTGGGTGGGTGGGCCAAACAGCAGCAGACACAGAACCGGTTCTGTGTCTGCTGCTCTTCAGAGCTATCGGTTCTTATAGAGCCGGCAGAACCAGTAGCATCCCACCCCTGAAATCAGGTGTATGTAATATACTTACTTATACATGATAAGGTGATGACACATATTACAAACAGAGCGGATACATTTGATTGGAGCAGGGAAAAACCTCCCCAAATCAACTGACAGATAGAGAACCTGAACCAGGTGCACTTTTTTCCCTTTCTGATTTCTTTGGGGCAACAGACTGTCTCACATTCTGGGTTGACTTCCTTTCAGATGGAATGGTTTAAAGTAAAATTTTGCAATTAAATGGTGTGTGTGTATGTATATGTGTGTGTGTGTGTGTGTGTAATTGTAATTGTAATTGTAATTGTTATTTATGATTGTCAAATCAGAGTTTTCTAATTTCTTCCTCATCGTAGGGTGGACCCCTGGGAATGTTATCAGGATACTTGGCAAACCACCTGCAGTGTACTGGAACATCACCGGGATCTGATGAAAGTGAGTTAATGGCTAAAGCTGATGGCAGAGATTGAGAATACTAGGCTAGGGGCTGTGGTGGGTTTCAAAGTAGTTTTACCACTGGTTCGGTGGGTGTGGCTTGGTGGGCCTGCTATGTGCACATGCACACACGCTTTGCACGCGCGCGTGTGCCAAAGGCACACTTTGCACATGCACAGAGGTTTTCCTACTTACCTCCTGCAATCCTGCACACTCCCGGTAGCTTCAACAGCTACAATCTGCTTTGCCACACAAAGCAGCTGCGCTTCAATAAAGGTCAGTATGGGAGCCCATGTGGGCAAGTGGACCCAACTGCAGAGCATCGGAGAGAACAGGTTTGGTCTCTGCTGATCTTAGACGCTACCGGTACGCCAGAACTGGGCCAAACCAGTAGAACAGCACCACTGGCTAAGGGGTTAAGTTCATGTTATTCATTGAAAATGTAATGGAAAGTGGCTTCACCTCAAAAATTAGAATTTTTAAGTTACAACCAGAAAAGGGATTAAGAATAATCAGACATTTTGTATCCTGGCAATAAGATATTTTTTACTTCTTAAATTCAGTTTCCATTCTCATTGGATGTTCTTTCAGAGGTTAATTTCAATATAAAACATAACTTGGTGCAAGTAGGGCATCAACATACAACCACACATATTCCCCCCCCCCTCCTAAGTCTTATGTGCCCAAGAGCATCCCAGAATCATATCAAAACACTTTTTGTGAGCTCCAGCTCCAAATTCATTTATGAATGTTACATCAGGGCTGATTGGTGGTGATTTTTCCCATGAATGGCAATGTCTGAATTTCAGCCAGTAACTGTCCTTCCCGTGTCACATAGTGAAGCTACATGGAGAGCAGTATAGCATAGCCCCATTCTGAATGTATATTGAGGGCACGATGTGTGGACAATGTCTATATTATGTAACCTGATTTTCTTCTGCCTCTGCAAAGAGGCTGTGCCGGTGACCCCAGCAAAAGGCCATCATACTTGTTAGAAATCTTTAGCACTCTTTTCTTGCACTTTGTTTCCCATCAACAAAATTGGAGCAAATAAGAACTCTCTTGTGAATGTGATTGGCAAATACTTTAGGTACGGAAGTACAATTCATTTTAAAATTGCTATCTTATTTCTTTCTAAGGAGGGAATGGTCATTTTCCAACATTCTGTCTCCTTATTGTACCCTGAGCTCTTAATTCGGGATCAATTCCACCAGTTATCCCACTAATATAAACTGTTAATGGAGTGTCTCAGCAAACTCTTAATCAAAGTTGATTATGGACCTTTCTGCTCGTTTGGGATGTGAATATGTATAAGGTCTGGACTTGACTTAGCTATTCTTTCCTTTTGGTTTGAAAGTGGATAATATAACTCTGATTACAACTGTAATTTTAGTCCTGTAAAAAAAAAAAAAGGTCATTGAAAGTACTGCTCTGATCTGACTGGAAAGATGTATATGTTATCTTATCTTGAGTGCACAGAATTTTTTTTATCAGACCATCCATAGAGCCAAATATTCTTTTCACAAATGGGCAACAAGATATCTGTGGAAACAGTGTCGTTCTTTTTGAGTTCCTCAACAACTGCCATGAAAGTTATTTGGCTTTGATCACCATTTTTACTAGTAACCATGAGTAACTTTACCTTCCATGAATCTGTCTAATAGGGGTTGCTTCCAATCTGGTTCCTACGGTTCAGATACTTGACCAAATCAGTTTTGAATCATATCTCTGAATTGAAGATTTGCTTTGTCTGCTGCACCTCCTCCTTTAAAGTTGTCCAAGTTGATGTCCATCATGACATCATGTGGGTAGCAAGCTCAATTGGCTAATTCAGCACTGTATGACAAAAAAAAATCCTAATTCTCACCACACACTATTTCATTCAATAAACTCAAGTTCTAGTCTTAAAATAATGAGCAAACTATTTCCCTTTCCATTTTCTACACAGTGTGCATAAATCCATACACATTTTATCTTCCAGCTTCTAAGAAACTTCAAATATTGACAATATTGACACATTGACATGTACTTTGCTTGCTTCCCATCCTGCCCTAGTTCTCAAAAAACAAAGCATACAAGCAATAAAAAATGCCAGGGGAAAAAAAAAGGAGAAACCACATACTGTATTTGACTGTGGGCACTGCTAAAAGTAGACAAGGAAACCATTCTGAGTGCCACCATTGGTGGGGTCTGCAGAGGGATCAAAAAAAAAATCAGGGTGTCAGCCAAATCAAAGGTACAGGGTTTTAAAAAATGTTTAAAAATTAAAAAATGTGCATGGCAATTAAAAAAAAACCCAAGGGTTTGATTATGCAATCACCACTGCCATCTTGTCTTTTTTTTTTTTACCCTCCCTGGAGATTCCCCTGCCAAACACCTTCAAAGCTTTGTCTTTGAGTGTGTGCAAATGTTCAGAAAGAATATGAGATGTTGGGGAGAAAAAAAAAGCTCCCCCCCCCCCCCTAATTTGTAGTAGGCTTGATGAATATTGCTCCTGAAGCTAACTGATGCTAGTGGGGCTTAATAGCTATCACATGGAAGTGATTTCTAGCAGGGCCGGATTAAAAAAGGAATGAATTCTGTTGGTAAATGTTGAAAGGCAGAGAATAAATCACTCCACTTTTTTTTTTAAAAGAAAAAAACTACCTTCCCATGTGCCATGGACTCAGTGAAAGCAGAGCTTCTCATAGTGGCTCTTAATTATTAAAATACAGCAAAAATTAAAGAGAGACACATTTACTGCCATGCTCATTTTAGCTCTCAGATTATGCTAATGAGAAAGAGAACCCTGGGAATATTGTGGGGAAAGAGAAGCAATATATTAGAAAGTCATACTAACAGGGGAGGAGAGAAATGCCTCCCACCTTCCCCCACCATTTCCTTGATTCAGAAATTGATGTTTCAGAGGAGCTTAAGGAGGAAGGAAGCCCAAAATATTTACAACATCTAATTTGTTTGCATATTTCTCAGTATGATTAAAAGGCCCTACACTGTTCCGGTGGCTGCTGTGTTTCCTGTCCAGGAAAATTCCACTGAGCACCTTTGTTCCTTTCGTTGTTATGAAAAACAACAATTTGAAAGCTTGACCAATTCTGGCAGGTCAAGGGTCATGGCAACATATTGGAAGGGGCATCAAATGGTTAGCTTTGTTTTAGAAACCCCAGTGTTCTCTCCCTTTATTTGTCAGAAATCATTTTATAGGGTCATTTGGAGTCCTCTAAAATTCCTGGCTTTTGTTTTGACTCGTTTTAAAAAGAGAAGGATTTATCCACAATTTTCGAGAGATATTGATGTTCCCAACAAAATAGCCAGGGGTAAGGAACTTGTTGACCACAAGTCACAGCTCACATTTTTGGACACTAATCTGAACTTAACAAATCATTTAACAGGAATATGGTAATATGTTTGAAATGATATTTGATTTCTTTATGAACATGGCAGCAGTAGCTGAGGGAAGATAATAGAAGAATTTGAGAGTTATGATGGGCAGTACATTTGGGAAGGCTGTTAGAGGAGTTAGTGAAAACAATCAACCAATGGACAGCTTGCCTTCAAAAGTTATGGGAGCTTCATCACCTGAAACTTTCAAGAAGAGATTTGAGACCCAGGGCAAAAATAACAAAGTCACAAAAATAGAATAAATTCCCTTTAATGCCTCCAACTCGGGCCCCAGTGTAGGTTGGATATCAAACTCTTAAAGAAAACAGTCTATGGAGGGAGTAAATGCAGTCTGAACCCAAAGTAAAGTTAATTAGAAATAATAAAACCCTACACAAACCACACTGAAGTAATTAATACGGCAAGCCAGGATGATAACTTGCAGACTTCTACCAGATAACGCAGCAACCACAATTGGGAGGAAGCCAAAACCCAAATAAGCTTCGACAAGAATAATGTATGCTTTGCTTCCAGCAACTTTGCCATGCACAGTTTGTCCTTTTAAACAGTCCTCCCAGCTGCAATCCCCATGAAGGGGATCAGGGCCCCTTTCTCCCCCATAGACCATGCCACTCATGTTTCTCCCTTATCTGCTCCTCCCTGTGTGCCCTAGAGGGGATGGACCTGGGTCTTCCTCTGAATGCCCGTCCAGCCTGTGCCCTTCCCCAGTTTCCTCCACAACCATCAGAGCTACACTCCCACTCCCTGTCATCTGTTCCACCTCTCCCTCAGAGTCAGACTCCAACAGGGACATGACAACATTGGACTGCCATTTGTCAGAAGTAGGGTCCCCTGATTGGACAGGGGGTTGGACTAGATGACCTACAAGGTCCCTCCCAACTCTGTTAATTTGTAATCAGGAAGATTTGATAGCTAACTCCCACATTATTATTGTAATGTATTATAGATGTTGACATATGTATTTCTATATATTCAAAGAAATACTAAATAATTCTTTTGTAGATCAAACTTTTCATTTCCACTGAGGGTACACATTCAATTTTCAACAATGCTTGATAATAATGTTCCTCCTCTTTATTTCTGCCTTTTGCAAAAGAATACAGCACCCCCTGGTGGCAGACAAAAAGATTGTTCCTGTTATTGCATACTCTAATACAGTGATCCCCAACCTTTTTTACGCCACGGCCCGGTATCCCCAACCTTTTTTATGGCGCGGCCCGGTACCGACATCAGCTGGGCGCCGCCATCTTTTTTTTATGAAAAAGTGCTTCCGGTGAGCTTTCTACCCGGAAAAGCTCACCGGAAGCACTTTTTCATCAAAACAAGATGGCGGCACCCAGCAAGCCAGCGGCCCGGTAGGACTTGTTCCACGGACCGGTACCGGTCCGCGGACCGGTGGTTGGGGACCCCTGCTCTAATACAGTGGTCCCCAACCTTTTTTGTACCAAGGACCAGTTTCACGCAGAAACACTTTTTCAAGGACCGGGTAGGGGCGTGAAGGTTCCAATAACAAAAACCTTAATCATTATATTTAATATGTCACCGCATATTACACAGAGTGGGTGTGGGGCTTGTGAATCACCTGTTGCGATGAACCCATAACTCAGGTAGGAATCTTGGTATTTTCTTTTAAATGCAGCTTTCTTTTTGCAGGCAGTCTGTGACCCTTCTGCTGTCTCATCGTTGTCTCATTTACCCTTTCCAAAAAAACTCTCCAGTGAACTCTGTTTCTGGCTCATTTTGCAAGGGCTAGCTTGCATTGCTGATGCAGGATAAATACGCGCCAAAGAGTCAAGCGCGGAAGTTAGGCGAGGGCGGAAGTGGTTGTCTTTCAAAATAAGACACCCGGAAGCAAAAACATATTTTTATATATATTTTAATCACGATTATTCATTCTTTGCGGCCCAGTACAAAATGATCCACGGACTGGTACTGGTCCGGGGCCCAGTGGTTGGGGACCCCTGCTCTAATACATTGCATTTACTATATTATTTTTAAAGAACAAGTTAAATGCAATCTTTGCTTTTTTCATATTGCAATTTCTTGGGCATTTGTTCATTTTAAAGGTATCTCTGCCACCTTTTGCTCAAAATTATAAGAGGTAGTCATAACATTTTTAAGGTATGTTTAAAAAGTTGTAATTATTACATTATTACAGAATAATAATGCATCTATTGCAATAAGAAGTATACTGTGAAGAAGTATACTGTTAAAGAGAATAAAAATGCCTTGATTTGAGGGAAATCAACCAGGCTTTGTTTCAGATACATTTTTTTGCAATTGCACAATGAAAGGAATTTGAAAAACTCAATCTTTGAAAACATCAGTGCACATGATGGTTTGTTTAGGCTACCGAGGGTTTAAGACTTTAAACAGAAATGCATCTTTGGCTCATCAATCAGTTTTAAATTCACCAAGCAAGATGAGCACCTTAGGCATTAGGCATTTGTGCTATATAATCCACAAGGATGTTCTGTTCTCAAAGCCTTAAGAAGCCGGTGAGTCAGACCATCCTACTTCTTCTTCTAACCAGATTGTTACTAGGACATTACACCCAGCATTACAATTGCATAATCTGGAGCTTCTCAAAGAACAATTTAGGCAAATGGAAGGAGTTTTACTTGTTAATGTGTCTCAATTCCTATAGCAGAGAGGTATTGAGCAAAGTATCAAGCAAAGTATAGGCAAAATTAACAAGGAATAAAGGAAATCAGAAAATAGCCTGATTATTTTAAAAAATGGTTATTGTATACCTAAATCCAGACATAATCCCTTTCAAACAACTATGGAACTCAGCTGTAATTTGGAGGTGGTATTCAGCAGGTTCTAACCAGTTCTGGAGAATCAGTAGCAGAAAGTTTGAGTAATCTAGAGAACCGGCCCCATCTATTCTCTGCCTCCCGAGTCCCAGCTGATCGGTTGGGTCTTCTTTTGTTGCTCTGCACAGGAGAATGGAGTAGGAAAGCAGGTTAGTGGGGTGGGGAGGGAATGGGGATTTTACAGTATCCTTCCCCTACCACGCCCACCAAGCCACCCCCATAGAACCGGTAGTAAAAAAAATTGAATCCCACCACTGCCTCTAACCTACTTCCTGTCTAGTGTCCTGTGATTCCTTGCAAAACAAAAAGGCTTAGTTAAGTCAATACTCCTGTCCCAAACCTGTCAATATTTAGAGCATGTTGATTTTGCTTGCAATCTTGCTCTTCTTCCCTAGGTTTTGGCTGAACTAAGCATCTTTCTTAGCCTGCACTCATGAACACTGACATCGCTACCACTCTCGCAGCTTGGAATGAAAAACTTACACTTTCAGTACAGATGCATATGGGTTAAAATAAGCACCAGAGGCCTAAAGCTCCCAGGTCTCTCTTAACAGCATCAGGAATATCTTGTCAAACCAGTCTAAAGGATTACTATTAGGGGATGCTTTTTTGTTTCCTTCCCAGGTAGAAGTCTGTGACTTCTAGAACCTTGCCATAAATACCAGGCCACCTTCAGCAAAGGGTTTCCCAGCTAGAGATGTTGACAAACCTATTGCCTGGTGATACTATCTATATAGCCATTGAGATTAATAGCCATTTTACACCTTATCTTTCTTGATAATTGAGAAGTGTACATGGAAAACTGCAGTCATGATTAGGACTATGACAGTACTTTTCCTCAATAACTTGGCTATGGTCTGATCTGAACACAGGAATACTATATTCACACTGTTCTGCTGACAGACAGAGGGTGTAGGAACAAAGTGGAGAAAGATGTGACCCAGGGTTTGGGCAGAGTTGCCAATAGGGAAATAAAATTGGGTAAGGGCAGCTTTGTAAAAACAAAACAAAAGCCTATTTTTCCCCTTTTTCAGTAGATATCTATGAACTAAGCGTATGAAAATGCAAACTAACTTTGACTAGCCAGTTATCTGAAATGATATAGGGTCTCCAACTTGAGCTGGGTGTTGGATTAAAAGACCTCCGAAGACCAGTCCAACTCTTGTTATTCTGCTCTGTTATTTATTCCAGCGAGTTACTGGTTGTATCCTGTCCAACGTGAACACACCTTCTCTGACCCCAGTGATTGGTCAGCCACAGAACGAGACCCCACAACCTATTTACCAGAACAGCAACCTTTCCAACAAGCCAACTGCAGGTAAGAATGAGCAGAAAACCCAAAATGTAGAAGCTGTTGAAAATACAACAGTAACCCAGGTGAGAGAAGAGAACTTACGATGGTGTTTCCCGCCTCAGATGCCAAAATAATTGGCCAGATTAGATTTTTGGCACTTTGACATCTGGAGGGGAAAGCCATGTCCACCCAAAATAAGCAAAATGTTTCAGTCAGACTTTCTCATTCATCTTTATAATCTATACTCGGGATAGCTGCCACTCTCTAATTATAAACCTTCCACTAAATTGCATATTGAGACATTTCAGCCGTTCCTCATCCTTTCATCTGCTTCTTTCTCACCTTCTGACTGGCACACCTGGTTTGCTGTTGGCTTCAACAGGTGGCAGAGAGTGCCTAAGAAGGTAGGAGAAAAATTGACTGGAACAGCTGCAATGGTTCACACTTGGGTTTAATGGCACAGGGAGTATTTTATTTATCTTGCAAACTACTAACCTGAATTATCCAAAGAGAACTGGATATTAAAATTTTTGGTTTCACACATAAACAACTTCTGGGGACAGAGAAAAAAAAAAGGGGGGGGAAATAGATCCCTTTCACTTTTTGATTATCCAGTAGGTGATATTGTCTTTAAATGGAACACAAGTGCCCTGCTAAATCTGATAGAGAGACCATTTAGTCTAGCCCAGTGATGAAAATATTTTGGACTCGGTGTGTCAAAACTTTGGAAAATGTCAAACTTGATGTTGTTGGTGCCTGACCACGAACAAAAGAGAAACAATCCTTTACACATTCCATTATTTTTTAAAAAATTTCTTAATCCAGTCATGTGGTCCTCAATATTATACAAAGAAACTTCAAACAGCTACAAAAGTAAAATACAGTTAAAACTCATGTTCAGAAAGTCTAGAGATTGTGGGAGAGCACGGCCTTTTAACGTGATTTTGGGAGGCTTTGGAAGCCACACGAAAGCACACATCCCCTCTGTGGCTTCTGAAAATTGTGCAATAACAGGACGTGCTTTCTAGGATAGTTGCTGGCTCTTTTTACCCAAAACATTGTGGTGTGTCAGCTTTGATACATATCATAGGTTCACTATCACTGGTCAACCATCTCTGCCTTGACCAGCCTCAGGTCTGGCATTCTGAGATACATTACAGTATCTATTTCTACTTTGTAAATATATATTTTTATTTCTGTTTTACTTTACTTTTAATGTGCATGCTCATGATGATATACTAATATTATTTAAAAATATCACAATAAATTAAACTCAGTATTTTAATCATAGCTGTAACTGCTCATTAGCTAGAAATGGCTGTTGAAGGTCATGGATTTTGGTTTATACTTTCTTTACCACATATTATTTTCATTGTTGATTTTAATTTTAATTTTCTTTTAAGTATCTCTGTCACTAAGTTTCATTTTAAATGTATGTTTTATTATATTGTCAAAATAACTCTGTAGTTGGTGCTCTAAGTTAAATAAATATTTCAATTTTGGCTGAATTTAGTATAACTTTTAAGTCATGGGTCAAATTGGATTCTTGTTATATACTTAAACTGCAGAGGGGAAATTGTATTTTAGTGATTTCCATCTGAATAAGAGGATACATGTTTTTGTGTGCTGTGTAGTTCTCAGAAATAAATTCAGGTTCTGTGCTGTGTTTGTGTTGAAGACAGCAGTAACATTTTGTCAAAGCAAGAATAAAAAAAATAGAGTGATCAAATCACAACCCACATATGTACATTTTAAATTGTACAGGAAAGCCACTGAATGAAGGAACAATAATGTTTCATTTGTAAACTATAGTACTTCCACACTGTATTAAATGCTGATTTTCCTGTTTCATCCTCTGCTTTCCTTTTTTCCTTAGCAAAACTTTTGGGGAAGGTGGGAGAAAGCCTTAGCAGGATTTGCTGTGTTCGTCCCCCAATGGAGCGTTTCACCTTTGTGGGTATGTTGTTGAAAAGGGATTGTCTGCAGCCAGCTAAAACTTGTGACCTGTGACTGAAATTAGATTTTTTTCTAGATGTAGATGACCAGGCTGAGCCTGAGGGAGGGATCAAACACGTCATTAGTCATGAGTCCCTATGTGCCCACAAGAGGTCTAAGTCTGGCCTACCTTGAATGATTTCTTAATTCTTATTCATTTCCCTTACTGTTAGTAGCTCAGATTATTGTAGAGAGCTTAAGCTTTCAATAGATCTTTCTACTCATCTGAACTGCTTGACTCTCTCGATTTCCCTTGTACTTGACATTAGCTTTTCTTCTGGAGATTGTTTGTTACATAACTAAATAGAACAACTGAAAGATTTCTACCAACAATAGCTGATGATGGAAGTATACTGTGCCTCTGGCAATACCAGTCTCCCTCAATTTATCCCCAAGTATTTCCAGGACTGTGCTGAACACTATATGTGAATTACTTGGATGTGTTTCAGAAAAGTTGGATCAATCCAAACCAGGACTGAAAATGATTTTTTTAACTATCTAATATGATACTTGCTTTTCAATTTGTCAGGCATCTTTTAGACTCAAAAATCTTGTTATGCCGATACTGGATCTGATATATTTGATATATTCTGGAGTTCAGAAGACTCTCTTAGGGATATACTAGATGTGGAGCATGACTAAGTAATAGAAATAATGCATTCAGCATTTGGGCTTACCAGCCTCTTCCACATTTGATCCACTTCATTTCAGCCAGTTATTATCACTACTTAGAACCCTCATTTTTCTGTAATTACTTTTAATTACGGTCTTTATAAAAGGTGCTCTAAGTACACTTGTAAAAGAGCACAATAATTGATTGTGTTGTAAGAGTTGCTTAGTAAATATAGTGTTTTTAACTAATAGATTACCTAATTGTAGGTCTTCCTGTGAAATACAATTTCAGCATTTTATTTTCTTGCTTTCTAGATGAAAATGCTAATTTGGGGACTGTGATGAGATATGAAGAGATTGGTAAGTGAGCATCATCCATAGGCCCTTGTAAAAGTGGGCATATTTGCATATTAAAGGGGTAGAAGAGTTGTGGTTACTTTATTGCACAATTGATGTTGATATTAGTTGGAAAAACAATACATATGTACAATACATACATATGCAGTTGCCCTAATTAAATCATGAGCCTCGAGCCAAGGTGTCAAAAACTTCAAAGAATTTATTAGGAGCGAACATGTCGGCATGATCTGTATGAAGCCATGAAGTGATTCTGAGACATGTAATTCACTTCACCCTTGACCCTGGTTTCCCCTCACCTCACTCTGTATATCATAATTCATATTCTCCAACAAAAGACATTCTTAGCTAAGAGCCATCAATCACGTTCTCCAATTAGAGATTTGCCAGGCAGAAATTCTGGTAGCTTAGTTATAATCTTTGCAAGATAAGAATGGAACACACTTTCGGTTCCAAACTGCTGCACTGCTCTTTCAATTTTCTCCCTCCCCCTCTTCTCTTCATGGCAACTCTAAAATAAGCATAGAAATGTTTCATCCGTTGACAACATTTATACAAAGATCAGGGAGTTTATGGGGGCTGTATTGCACAATGGGGAAGACTGGAATGATATCATCTACATCATCTTATTTGGAACGGATTTCAATCAGTGCTTTAGAGCATGAAGAGACTATAAATTTAGCAGTTGCTTGCAACTCTTCCAAGACTGTGACATTTTAGTAAAAGATTTAGCTGTTTTGAAGAGTTGTAAAGGTGTCGTTTACAGCATTGATTTATGTCTCCTTCCAAACCACCTTTTTTTGGATTGAATCCAAATGATTTGTCGTGCTGTATACTATGCAGCTTCCCAGATAATAAAATGCATATGACATCAAAGACCAAGCTTTGCCTTTCAGACTGACAAGCAACTAATAATGAGTTGAGGGTGTGAAAAATCATTCCAAATCGCTTCCTGTGCATTGACACTTATTTTCACTTATAATTGTAGTCTGTAAATTAATCTTACAATTAAAAACCCACGTTCATTATCACTGTAATCGTCCTTAATAGATGGAAGTATGCATTCCCCTAATGTACACTTACCAAAAATAACCATCCCATAGCTTTTCCAATTATGTCATTTTGGAATACATTGTGTGTGTGCCAATCCATAAAATGGAGCATGACAGAAGCTAGCAATCCATAGCACATTCCACATTTTAAGGATTTTATACCCTTGATGTTGACTATAATTTTATGGGAACCTACCTGCAAATTCTACTGAGCCTTGCCATTATGGAATGGAGTGACAGGTAGTGGAATATGGCATAATGGAAATAATTCATTGAACACTTTCCTGCATTTCTTAAACCAAGTCACCATCAGACATAAGACAGAAGGATATTTTCTCTCTAGTCAACTGCATCAAAAGTTTTATGAGTATGAAGAATGGTTGCAGGAAGTGTCTAGTTTAATGAAAAGAAGGAGTAGGGTTGACATCAGTGGTGGAATTCAAATTTTTTTACTACCGGTTCTGTGGGCGTGGCTTGGTGGGCGTGGCAGAGGAAGGATACTGTAAAATCTCCAGTCAGAGGTAGTATTTGCCGGTTCTCTGAACTACTCAAAATTTCCGCTACCGGTTCTCCAGGACTGGTCAGAACCTGCTGAATACCACCTCTGGGTGACATGATAGCAGTGTTCCAATATCTCAGAGGCTGCCAGAAAGAAGAGGGAGTCAAGCTATTCTCTAAAGCACCTGAAGGCAGGACAAGAAGTAATGGATGGAAACTAATCAAGGAGAGAAGCAACTTAGAACTAAGGAGAAATTTCCTGACAGTTACAACAATTAATCAGTGGAACAACCTGACTCCAGAATTTGTGGGTGCTCCAACACTGGAGGTTTTTAAGAAGAGAGCGGACAATCATTTGTCTGAAATGGAATAGGTTTCCTGCTTGAGCAGAGGTCTGGATTAGTGGACGTCCAAGGTCCCTTCCAATTCTGTTATTCTGTTTCTGGTATTGTGGTCACACAGGCATAGAAAAGTCGCTGTTGCACGCATTATATTGGTGCACAAAATTGCCAAAAAATGAAGGTAACACTGACATTGCTTAAGGAATATTAGTGGTCAGTGAAGTAGATTAAACTAATTGACAGACAGATAGCAACAATTCTAGAATGTTTTTACAACACAGGAACCACAACTCTGTTTTAAAGCCCTGTCTTTTCTGATTTCCTTCCTTTTCCAAGCCTTTGCATCAAGGCAAAGAGATTAGTGGGGAGTGGTTATACAGGGGCATGTCTCAGTAGCTGTATCTCTTTCCTTCAGAGCTCCGAATCTTGCTGCTGTGTGGAAGCGATCTGCTGGAGTCCTTCTGTATCCCAGGCCTTTGGAATGAAGCTGATGTGAGTGGACAACAGAAGACGGTCAAAGCTGTGACCTTCCTTCCTTCCCTCCCTTCCCTTCCTCTCTAGTTACATGCAGTGGCTACTGGTTTAGCAAAATATACTTCCTGTGGAGTTTTGTTTCCTTTGTGATGGTGTGGGAAATCATAGATTGACAGCCTGCTTCAGCCTGTTCGTGACCCCTTCTTTTCCAGTTCTGGTAATAGTAAAAGGACAATAGTAAAACTGCAATGATGCAGTTGAAGAGGTATTTTTTTTAATGTAAATACATATAATTTCATATTTCAGTAATAGGAGTTGATTAGTTGATTACTCTTCCAACCATATCAAGAAAATAAAAGTACTTGCCTCAGCCCTTGCCAAATTTCTTTTAAAATGATTTACTCACAACCTTGTAACGTAGTAAGGATTTGATTAAATGTTCTTAAAGGTAACACAGCACATATGTGCTAGCCATTTCTGGCTCTAGGGGGTCATGCTCGTCTCCGTTACAAAGCCGAAGAGCTAGCGCTGTCCAAAGACATCTCCGTGGTCATGTGGCCAGCATGACTAAATGCCGAAGGTGCACGGAACGCTGTTAACTTCTCACCAAAGTGGTCCCTATTTTTCTACTTGCATTTTTACATATTTTCGAACTGCTAGGTTGGCAGCAGCTACATGTTCTTAAATGCCTTTAAACTGGGTTCTCTCAAGATCTGAGGACTGCAATTCCCATATTCATCCATTAGGGCAGGGGTCCCCAACCACCGGTCCGCGGACCGGTACCGGTCCGTGGAACAAATCCTA